TTTTTTTTTTTTTTTTTTGAGACAGAATCTCATCATGTAGCCTTGAACTCACAAAAATGTCTGCCTCTGCCTCTTGTGGGCTGGGATTAAAGTCACGTGCCACCCCATCCAGTTTAAGTGGCATATACAAAAAAAAAAGTCACCCAAGGGCTAGAGATAGCTCAGAGGTTATGAGATATAAGAAAGCATTGCTCTTGCAGAGGAGTTGAGTTCAATTCCCAGCACTGACATGGAGCTGCTTTGTCTGTAACTCCAGCTCCCTGAGTGTAGGGTCTGCTGTCTCTGATTTTGGGCACCAGAACTCACACTCATGTAAGCATGCACAGACCTACCACATTCGTACACATAATTAAATAATGGGGACTAGAAAGATGGCTCAGCAGTTAAGAACACTGGTTGGTCTTCCAAAAGACCCAGGTTCAAATCCCAGCATCCCCATGGCAACTCACAACTGCAATCCCTAACAGAGGGATCTGATGCCCTCCTCTGGCCTCTGAGGTCACTAGGTACCTTACATGATATATGTATATACACACAGGCAAAACACCCATACATACAAAATAAATAAAGAAAACCAAACTTGGGCAGTGATGGCATACACCTTTAATCACAGCACTTGGAAGGCAGAGGCAGAAGGATCTCTGTGAGTTCGAGGCCAGTCTGCTCTACTGAGCAAGTTTAGAGAAACCCTGTCTCAAAAAAACCAAACCAAAAAAACAAAACAAAACAAACTTAAAATTTTTCCTGTACAATACTTTTTTTTCAGGAAGCTCCTTTGGGATACTGAATGCAAAATTCCCCAGTGTTTTACACCCCCCCCCCCCCCCCCCACACACACACCCCTAACCCCTTTTTTTTCCACATACATACTAGGCAGGCATTCTGCTGCTGTAGTTTACACCCACAGCCCTCCTGCTCCCCACCCCCACACTGTCTTTAACAGATCTGTATTCATTCCCTGGCTCCTTTTCTCTAGAAAACTGACCCCCAGCACTAAAGCCTTCTTTAGAGGGTGCAATTGTTCTCCATCTGAAGAAATGCTCTTGAAATAGTGTGAGCCAAATCATGCACTATTGAAGTCCTAGTATATTGTCTCTACTAAGTTATTTGCATAGAGTTATTTATGGGAAAAAACTATGCATACTAAGCTTTAAAACCTTAGAGGTTGATTCAAGACGAAAAATGACACTATACAAAAAGTTATTGATATGCAAGGATAAGAAAAATATCTTTGGTTACTTTAGTTTAAAGTTATCAAACTAAGTTTTTGAAGACTATATCTAAATAAATATTTGCATGTTGGCACATACCTTTAATCCCAGCACTAGGGAAGGCAGAGGCAGGTGGGTCTCTCTGAGTTCAAGGCCTGCCTGATCTACATAGTAAGTTCCAGGACAGCCAGGGCTACATAGAGAGACTAGTCTCAAAAACAAACAAACAAACAAACAAAAGATTATGTATGTCTATTAACTGTATTTATATTTAACAACATATAACTAAATTTTATAATTATATTATATTTTTATTTCATTTTATGTATATAAGCTTTTTGCCTACATATATGTCTGTGTACCACTTGTATATCTGGTACCTCAAAAGGCCAGACGAGGGTGTTGGGTTCCCCGAGACTGAGCTACAGAAGGTTGTGAGCTGACACATGAATGCTGGGAAACAAACCCTGGTTCTGGGAAAAGGCCACCAGTGCTCTCAAACCATTGAGCCCTGGCTGCCACTATAATTTAAAAAAATCTGACATCCCACACAATAGGATGATAATGGTCTGTTCCTGGCTCTGGAATGTTGGCTTATTAAAGACTTCCAGAAATAGAATTAGTGCATTAATTGGAATGCACATATGTCAAGTTCCAGACACATGTTCCTAAATTGCTTCCTAAAGGGTAGTAATGACTTGCCATAGTATTGGTAATGTGTTAAAATATATCTTTGTCAGGAACAAGTAATACTACTTTGAATAATATTATTAAATATTGAATGGTTATGAATTAATAAATATTATAATTAATTAAATGATTA